GGTAATGCAGGTCGTTGGGCTGCTCCCAGCTCCCTGTTTCTCCAGCCCTTGTCCCGCTTGTCCATGGGGAGGGATACACGCAGGTGAAGAGGCAGTAGACATCGCCGTGCTGCTGCTTGCTCCTTGATCTCATTTGCCTGGAGTTGATCCACGCAATTCACAGCACAGAGAGCTTGGGAGGTCATTTATCCCTGATTTTCTATGCCAGACAAGCAGGATGTATTTTTCACTCTGGATTCTTAGGGGGAAATTAGTAATATTAGTGCCTGTGTCCACATCACCTCACACGCTTCCTGTGTTCGAGCTGGACATCACCTTTCTCGGCACCTCAGTGGATACTTTTGACCCTTACCATGACTTTTTAAGATAAAAATGATATTTAGATACCACCAAGGCTTCATATCAAGTGCATTGTGCTCATTTCCTAGTGGAAATGCCAGCAAGGGTTAGGGTTAGAGTTTCTGGTGCCATTTTCCTGCAGGGATGGAGCAGCCCCATCCCACCTTGCCCAGGGACAGCTCCCTTGTGCCACATTCCTGCAGGATTCCGGCTGTGCCACTTAGCAGGTGCACTCCCTCAGGTATGAAGGAAAGATAGCACAGATCACTGGATTTGTCCTCGCTGTCATCAGGCTTGTTTGGGAATGTGCCCACTTCCAGTTTGTGTCTGTGGGGTGTTTCCAGCTGGGGCTGTTCGCACAGCTGCTTGTGCAGCTCTGGATGGAGCCCAGGTCCATTTCTCCAGGAGTTTGGCCGATTAGTTTTCAGCTGGGGAGGGAAGTTAAAAAAAAAAAAAAAGGAAAAAAGAAGTATGTGAGTACTTGTTTGGAGACATAACACAATTCCTGCGACATTCACTGTACACTTCCAGAGGTACCTGCGGGGATCAGGGGCTGGCAGGAGGCCAGGCTGCTGCTGGCAGTGTCCCAGTCCAAACAGGAACGGGAAAACCGGTCAACTAGTAAGAGAGACTTTTATTTTTCTTCTTTCTGTCCTATTTCTTAATTTTTTCCCCATTTTTCCTTCCTTCTTTTTGGCAGTACACTGAGTTCCCAGCAGCAGGTTAAGGAGCCGAGTGGGTGCCGCTGCTCCAAGCACATCTTCCACCCGGTGTGCTGGGAAAACAAGGTGGAGTACATCTCGCCCTGCTTCGCTGGCTGCACCAGCAGCACCATCAATTCCTCCAACCCCAACCAAGTGGTGAGTAAAGCACGTGGTTTGCAAAGCAGCCTGAACCTTTGCTCGCCGGGGACAGGGGAGTGATGCTGCAGGAACCTGACAGATGCAACAAGGGGGTGGAACCTTTTTGGCACAGTGTGCTGGGAAGTCTACCAGGGAGCTGGAGTCCTGGGAAGGTGCCATGGAGAATTCCTGGGAGTCTGCTTGGAGAAACAGGGGTGATGGCACATCCCATTACAGGATGCCATGGCTGTGGCCTTAAAATTGGAGATGATGCTCTCGTCGGTCTCCTGCAAAGGGCTGTGGTCCGATGGGTCACTAAAATCCCTGCTCTTGGCTTTGGGAGTCTTATATTTGTTCTGTTCCAAATGTTTCCAACAGATCTACAAGAACTGTTCCCAGATCCCCCCTGGGAAGGAGCTGTACTCAGGCTCCTGTCCACTCAGCTGCTCTGACATGCTCTTTCCTGCCATATTCCTCATCTCCTTCGCTGCCCTGGTCGCCTGCCTGTCCCACAACCCCCTCTACATGATGGTGTTACGGTGAGCACTGGGTGTGGGTGGGGGCACACAGGAGTCACAGGGGGGAGTGTGATGTTATGGTTCCCCACGTTGGGATCCATGGGATGTCATAAATGTGCAACCAGCCCAAGTCTTGACCAAACCCAGAGCCAGCACCACCACTCTGACCTCCCATGGCTTCTCCCCTGCAGGGTGGTGAACCAGGACGAGAAGTCGTTTGCCATCGGCGTCCAGTTCTTACTTATGAGGCTGCTGGGTGAGTGTCCATCTCCTAATGAGACTGAGGGGAGCAGTGAAGGTTTGCTGGAGCCCCAGGAGGTGTTGAACCTCGTCAGGGACAGCAGCCTGACTCCGTCCTCTCTTCTCCCAAGCCTGGCTGCCAGCCCCAGCCATGTTCGGAGCGCTCATCGACTCGTCCTGCATCTACTGGCAGCAGCAGTGCACCCAGCGCCGGTTCTGTGCCTACTACAACAACAACTTCCTCCGCAACAGGTACCCCTGGCACCTGTGCCCTGTCCCCCCTGGCGGCCTTGGCCACAGGGATGGTCCCCAGCTCAGCCTGGGGCCAGCTGAAGGTGCCACCTCCGGACACGGCCTCTCCCTGCTCTTCTCCCGGCAGATACCTGGGGCTGCAGGTGGGCTACAAGGTGGTGGGCACCGTCCTGCTCGCCCTCATCAGCTGGAAGGTGAAGAGGAGCAAGGAGTACAACGTGCAGGAGAAGGCAGCGGGGCTGGTGTAGCCCAGGGACTGACTCCACACCCCACCATGCACTGCCAGTTCTTTGTCTCACTTGGGTTCGTTTTACCTTCTTTCGGGAGCAACTTCACCTCAGCAGCTCCGAGCTCCTCTCCTGCAGCCCAGGGCACCGCCGTGCTCCCGGCGAGGGACACTCCGTGCCAGCCCTGTCCTGGGAACGGCTTCCCCCGGGCTCTCCAGCTGCACTTGCCCATCACCCTGGGGAGGGGGCAGCCCCCCAGCAGCTGGACCAGGAGGTAGAAAGAGGCTGGAACTCGTGGACCCAGAGAAGTGCCTGCTGTGGGCGATGGTCCCTGTTCCGGCTTGACGTTTCCAGCCGGGTAGTGCCTTCCTGGCTGGGACAGGAGCAGGGACGTGGCTGCCAGCCCTGAGGGACTGCCCGGTGTCCCCCCACCCCTCGCAGAGGTCAGCATGGACACCGCACACGCGTTGTGACAAGTACATCACAAGGGGTTTGTTGCAGAACATTTGCGGTTTGTTGCTCTTTTTATTTTTTAAATAAAGGTCACTTTTCCAACTGTGGTGGTTCCCTGGTCTCCCCCCACCTCCTGAGCTGACCCCAGCAGCCAGGCAAGGCAGGGGGGATGCTGTGCTGAATCACAGAATATTCTGGATCACCGAGTCCAACAGGAACAGGGCTGCAAGCAGCAGCAATTTTTGACCTGAGGCTCTCCCCCCGTTTGATACATTTCTTGGCACAGACAATTCTGGTATTTGCTTGCTCGAGCTGGTGCCTCAAAAGCGGGACCACGAACAAAGAAATCCCTGGGCAATTATCCCCTTACAACCTTCATTCCCCCTCCCTCACACGACAGTCCTGACCAACAGCCATAGCAGGGGCTGGGGTCCTTTCCACTCCTCATGGCTTTGCTGTTACGGTACCAAACTGTTGCTTCAGCCCCTGAGGTGGGTTTTGGTGAGGGTTCAGTGTGTTCTGTTACTCCACGCTGTGACAGGGTTGTTACAGTTCACAGATTACGATCTATGGGCTGTTTGCTCCAGCTATCAATTTTTAAGTAATATTTAAGCTGCAGCTTTGTCTATTCTAACTATTAGTAACGATTTTTACTATTATTAATGATCAGATTCCCCAGGTTCCCCTCTGATCCATCTCTGACTGACACAGCACAGCCACGTGGTTCAGTTAAAGTTCAACCTGTGGCCCAGCAATTGCAGCTACTTGTCAAGCACTGAAGCTACTTTTAAATCATATCAATTCTACACTGCAGAGGGCTCTGGGCAGGGTACAATGGGCTTTGGGCTTTCTTTTAGTTTTCTTGGGTAACTGTACTCAGCCCCTGTCCTTATCCCATTGCTATGAGAGGCAAGGCATTGTTCTTTTCCCTGTGCTCTTGGCCCTGCTGCATCTGTGCTCACAAAGGGAGTCAAGTGAAAGGGCAGGAGAGGTGGATTTGCTCTGGATCAGCAAGTCTCTATGAAATTGAGGTCTGTCCATGCTATTCCTGCCCCTCTCCACCTGGCAGATTTTCCCTAAACACCCTTGGAAACCACCACCCTCAGGATGCTGATGTCCAGGCATTATTATTTTTGCTTTTCTTTGCCTTTTAGCAACCTCTCCTCCACTGTCAGTTGGTTTCTGCTATCCCAGATCTCACTGTGCTCATCGATCTCCTCCAAAAATATCTGCCTTTTCCAGGGGGACAATCTGGAGCACAACCCATAGCAAAATACATTGACCAAAAGAGCTTTAGAGTACAGTGAGAGCCTCAATCCCTGCAGATGTGTGAACACAGCTGGAGCAGAAGGGACTGAGTTTATCCCACTGTCCTGCCAAAGCCATCCCAACAAGCCAAGCTGCAGTGGCTGAGGAGCATCATGCCCGGCCAGCACAAAGTCACAGACTAGGAACAAGGGCAGAAGAGCAAAGAACAAAGCACAAAGCTGACTGAGGAGAAAAAAAACCCCAAGAACACAACATTCAGAGTTTCCAGTTCTGTCCTTCTCCCTCTCCTTCAGCCACTGGGGAAAAACAGCCCCGAATATTTGACAGGCAGGTCATGGAGTGAGGCCCAAAGAACACAGGGAGCTCTGCAACAGCTCCAGCACAGGAAGTTCTGGGACAGCTCCAGCTCAGCCACACAGTCCTGCAGGGAAAGTTGAGCCATCTCCACCCAGCTGTGAAGCCATGGGGTGCCACAGTCACCTCCATGGCACAGCAGTGGTGCTCTGTCACCTAAACCACCATGCCCTGCAGCTGGCTGGGCTTTTCCCGTGTGTGTCAGCTAAGTGTCTCCTTTTAACATTTTTCAGTCATTTTTTTGCTATGTGATTGTCAATTTATCAATGTATTTCCCAATTCTCTAACATTCAGACTAAGATGCAAACACACACCCAGAAACACCCAATCCCAAAGCCCTGTGTGTGCAGAAGAGGATGCTTTTTGACAACACAGACCTGGTCATGGAGGAGGAAGGTTGATCCCAAACATGCTGAGCAGGAGCAGAGCCCCATCCAATTGGATCTGACACCGCTGAGAAGGGCCAAGGCAAACACATAGACTAAAGCAAGACTTGAGAACAAACATTTAAGCAAAAAAAAAAAATTTATTTCAGGAATACTTTTAAAAAGAATAACTTAAAACCAATTGTGGCCTCATTGGTACCTTTCCATCCCCCTTACACAGAGGCTGGTGCTTGGCCTCTGCTTTTCAAGGAGATGCATCTTCACAAAAACAACCACCCAAAAAAACAACAATTTTTTGCCCAAAACCATGGGCACCATGGATTTGAAGCAGGCAGCCTTGGATCTTCAGCTAAAGGAGTTCAGAGCATGACAAACATGCTCTGACAAGACTCTGGCTGCAGGAAATAGAATATAATATCCTTGGTAAATATAACCCTCCCCACCTCCTGCATGGATAGTTGAAGAGCTACTGGGTTCCCGAGACTAGAAATGCAAGGATCAGCTTTGTTATGGGCACAGGGCTTTGGGAAGGCTGTTCCTGCTCTTCCCAACACTTGGTAATGCTACAGGGAGACAGGGAAAGAAAAGAACACAACAGATGAGCTGAGTGATGGAGGAAGCACCAAACTGGAGAGGAGGGGTCTGCAAAGGACAAAAAGAGTCTGCCAGGAGCCAGCCACTCCCTCAACTCTAAAACAAGAGAAAGTCACAAAAAAAAAGGGAAAAATATTCCTGCAGTAGGACACTGCAATGTGCAACGAAACACAATCTGGGAAAATCTCCCATAGTGCTCAATTCCAGCTTCAGGTCCTTCTTTCTACAGCTCCAGACTATCTTCTTCCCTTCAGTCCCCAAGTGTCCTGCCCCCCAAGCCCTGCCCTTCCCTGTTCAGGCGACCTTCAGTAGCCATTTCTCCAGGCCCTCCAAGTCAGCATCTCCCTCCTCCCCCTTGCTGCCCCGAGCACTGCACTCCACGAATTCCACCTTCATAGGCAGCTGGGAGAAGTCGAAGTCCTTGCCCTTCTTGCCCAGCTGGGCAGGACCCCCTGAGCTGTCCAGGCTGGTGGGGGCTGCAGAGCGGGTCACCCGTAAGGTATTGCTGCAGAGAGAGAGGGGAGAGGGTCAGGAACTGGGAACCAGGGGAATACTGTGGCTGCTGAGATGCTTGGGATGCAGCTCTGCCAGCAGGATGCAGCCACACCAAGGACAGAAGGCCCAGGGCTCTGCCCTGGGAGGCACAGGCAGGAGCTTTGGCCACTACTGGAAGTCACAACTGCAGAGGTTCAAGAGAGCAAGACAGGCAGGAGGGCACTGAAGGAGAGGTGCTTGAGCAGGTTTGGTTTTGCAATAAACAGCAGCACGAGTCAGGTGATGATGTCCTCAGCTCAATTTCCCCACTGATCACAGGAATTACACAAGATTTAGCCTACAGTCCTCAGGGTCTGTGCCAGTTTAACAGGTTAACTGGGAAGGGAGAGGCACCTATGGCATCAGGGATCAGCAGGATCCCTGACACAGCACCTGGGTGTGCCAATCTGGGGATTGAGAAGGGGATCGAGTGCCCCCACTGCTCCCATATATTCCTTATTCACAGAATGGAGCTAAATTAAAGGGGCAAAGGGAAATAACACACCCAGAGTTCAGGAATAAGTGAGCAGACACTTCCTTGGGTTTTCCACTCATACACATCCAAGTATGGCAGCTGCCAGGGAAGGATGGCAGCAATCTGCCAGCCTGCAGGAATAACAGTGGTACCAGGGCACATGTGACCTGCCTAGAAACCCAACATCTGCACACAGGCAGCTGGAAAATGCTCAACACCACAACCAAGCAATGCTTATTTCCCTGGAGAATGTGAATATGTGGCAACTAATTCCTGCCTTAAAAACAGGAAGGTCGGATATTCAGCCTGGGAGAGAAACCAGCACAAATATCCCTGCTGCCGTCTGCTGGCCAAAGGGGTTATTGGATCATGGAATCATTCAGGTTGGAAAAGCCCTCTAAGATCATCGAGCCCAACTGTAAACCCAGCACTGCTGAGCCCCCAGACAAAAGAGACTGCTTTTTTGCCAACTGAACTCAGACATGGCTCAAGGGAGCTCACCAAGCACTGAGGTAAGAGAAAAGACAAGAGGAGGAGCTCAGAGGGATCGAGATCCCATTCCATACTTACAGCTCTTTCTCCAGCTGCTGTTGAATAAGTTTTGCTGATTTTGCCATTGTGACATCTAGAGAGAGAAAAGAAAAGGAAATCAGCTCTTTGGCTTTCTGTCAGAATTCAGAATGCTGGCTCCCCCTCCTAAAGCAAGGCCAGCTCATGCTGTGCAGTCACCAGAGTTACTGGGACAAGGACAGCTGTGCCTGTGTGGGATAAGGGATGTTGGAGCTTTGGGATCTCAGACAATGGGAACAACAAACCAGCCTGATACAACACAGGGATTTAATTCCTTCTTGCTGGGCAGGGAGCTGCTTCAGAGGATGGGGTTTGATGCCCCAGCACTCCCCCCTGTCCTGGCACTACAGAGTTCCACACAGCGCCTTTCACACAGGGCATGTGGAGCCACGAAGGCCTCAGGCAGCTCCTGAATTAGTGCACAAAACAGCTACAAAACCCAGACCTGATACTGCCCAAAAATTTCAGATTGTTACAGGGGGATCCACACTTCCACTGTAAAAACTGTATGGATCTGAAAATCGAGTCCTTTTCAGTAACTGGGTGTTCCTGCTAGTCCAAAGGACTCTTGGCAGCTAAATGACTGGTTTCAACATTGAAGCTGCTGAGAGTGTAGGAATAGTTCATTATGCTCAAGCTGATCCTATTTCCTGCTGCCTGGAGACTGAGGAACAGCTCTGCTCAGGCAGAAAGCACCTGCCTTACTTAAGCCCACACGAAGAGCTATAGGTCTCTCAAGTGATGCTAAAAACGCTCCTGCTGAGTAGTCTGAGTTTAAATCTAAATTCCAGCCTTCACTTCACTGAAATCCCAGCTCCTACAGAGTTCAGCACCCATGGCATGAATCCCATTCCCTGCAGGGCTGGATGCCAGGCCCAGGCCAGGGCACCTTGCTTGTTGCAGGCGATGAGCAGCGCAGGCGCGTTCTTGAGGACGGTGCCATCGACCAGGACCTGGTACAGGAACTCTGCCACGTCCTTCACCTCCCGCTGGAAGGCCACGCTGTCCACCACAAACACGATGGCTCTGGGGAGAGAGGGAAGAAATGTGCTGGGGCTGCAGCTCTGTATCCATCTTCCCCTGCAAGAATTCCAGCCTGGGCTGATATATTTGTTTCCGTGTCTGACCTTGTCCAACCCAAGTGCAGGGCAGCAGCATTTCCTGGCTGAAACACACCCCATGTCCAGCCCCAGCAGGAATTCCTTCCTTCTCTGCCCCAGGAATATTCCACATCCCCCAACCCTCCCCACTGCAGCTGCATTGTCACCTGGTGCACTACAAGCACAGCAAAGCAAGGAATTCATGGTATGATTTTTGGGATTGTCCTGTGCAGGATCAGGAGCTGGACTCGACCCTTGTAAGGCCCTCCCAACTCAATATATTCCATAAAAGCAAAGCAAAAACTCCCCTCCATTACCCCACAGCAGAGCTCTGACTGTCAGGACACCACCAGCACAGCTCACAGCATTCCCAGCACCAGCACTTGGTTTATCCTTTTCCAAAACATCCCCTGCCCCCTGCTGCCCTGCCAATCTCCTCCCCGTTACCTGGCTGCAGCCTTGAACCTCTCCAAGAACTGGAGCCTCAAACTCTCATGGCCTGGAAGGTCGATCAAGGTCACACTGGTGCCCTGGGAACAGAAACAAGGTGTTACCCCCACTTGATCTCGGGGTGCCTGTGATCACGGACTGGGGAAAACCTGGATTTGCATCCTGCAAATATAGAATATAAACCCTCTGAACCAAGTTACCTACTCCCACACTGCAAGTCTCCCTAAGTACACCAAACTTCGCTGGGAATAACACAGAAGTGCCTTTGCAAGAGACTTCTTTTTTTCATCTGAAAGCTGCAAATGTTTCCCTTCCCACAGCCTGACAGCCAAAGCCAGGGCATGAAAGAGAAGGAATGGCCTAGCTAGGTCCACGTCACTGCTCTCCAGATAAGGCTCCTTGTTCTCCAGAGTGGAGGGAACACTACAGGAGACCTTCCTGCTCCTGGATTTTAATGGAAACCTTGTCTATCATTTAAAAAAAAAAGAAATGCCTTGCAGCATTCCACTACCTCTCCCCCTCCAAATGCTTGTCTGCTCAATCTTAGAGACACAAAAATGAAAAAAAAAAAAAAGCCCTTTACCAAGTTTTTAACCTTATTATCACCACTTAGTGAAGATTGACAAGAAGCCACACAAACACCCCCTACTTTCACGATTTCCCAGCAGTTAAGGTGCACCCAGCAAGAGAAAGAGACTTTTCCAGAATGAAAGAATTGCCGTAAGCTGAAAATAACCAGGTCTGTGGCAGTCTGGGACCTAAAAGCAACAAAATCCTTTCTGAGACCATATAAAGTGCAGCTGGAGACTCTGCTTAAGCCTGATGAAGCTTTTAATTTCAGGTTTTTGTCGGAGAACCAGAAATTACTACCAAGGAAATAAGGCAACCGTGACTGAACGATGCCCCTCACAAATCTCCCTCATGCTGCCCCCACAGCCGTGGTGTTCAGCCAGAAAGGTTTCACTGCTTGAGCAGCAAAGTAAAAAGAACCTGCCCTAAATCCCATCATTTCCCTACTTTCTTCATGTGCACTGCCTGGAAAAATCCTGCCCTGCACCCAAGGCAAACGGGGGACTGAGCAGCAGAAAAAGATCAACCCAGGTTTGGCACAGGGAACAGGAGAAGGCAGGAGCAGCCCCAGACAATTCCAGCCTTGCTGTGCACTCACCTTGTCCCGGCTGACCCGGTACGTGGCCGAGCTGTCGGTGATCGAGGTCTGGGTGTCCCGGTATCTGCCCGACAGCAGCTGTGGGGAACAGGTAGTTCTCACAAAAAGGAGCCTGAGAGGCTTAAAAAACACTCCAAGCAGTGTCCAGGCTTTGAATCACTGGCATCACCTTTAATCTGCTCAGAAACTGGGATGGTCTGTGAGGGGTAAAGGGCTCCAGAGATCCGATCTCAGTTTACATGCAGGAACTTACTGCAAGGGTCATTTTCCCCAGTTAATTAAAAACTGTGCTCCTTGCATTTTCAGTCTTTTCAGAATGTTCTGAGCGGGAAGGGACCCACAGGGACCATCCAGTCCAACTCCTGGCCCTGAACAGACACTCCAACAATCCCACCATGTCCCCGAGAGCGTTGTCCTTGAGCTCTGTCAGCCTTGGGGCCATGACCACTGTCCTGGGGAGGCTGTTCAGTGCCCAACCACCCTCTGGGGGAAGTCTTTCCCAGATACCCAACCTAAACCACCCCTGACACAGCTCCAGCTCTTTCCTCGGGTCCTGTCTCCGTTCACACCGAGCACAGATCGGAGCTGCCCCTCGGGGGGAAGCTGCAGACCTGGATGAGTTCAAGTACCCAAAAACCTTTTGCTGCGACAAATTCGAAACAAAAGACCATTTCTTTTGACACTCCCTGGTAGACAAAACCCGGTCTCCATCCCTCTTTACATCTCCAAAATCACCTTTTTAAAGGTCTCAGTAAGAGAATAAAACCCGAACTAAAGAGAGCGCCTTCCCCTCTGTACGAGAGATGCCGGAGCCGGGCACCCCCTCCCCGCTCACCCGCGCGAAGAGCAGCGTCTTCCCCGCGTCGCAGAGGCCCAGCAGCAGCACGGCCTTCCTGCTGCTCCTCCTGCCCTGCACGAACCGCCAGATCACTGCGGGAGAGAGGAGGCGCAGGAGGAGGATGAGAAGGGGACGCCCGAGCCCGCGTCCGCCGGCACCGGCGCCCCCTCAGCGAGCGCGGCAGGCCCTTGGGCGGGGGGAGAGAAGGTTCCCGCAACTCACGGAAGGTGACGGCGACGGCGATGAGCGCGATGAGCACAGAGAATACGGCAGGGCCGCTCAGCTCCCGCCGCAGCGCCGCCAGGTCCGGCTCCAGCCCGCCCGCCATGGCCGCACACGTGGCCGCCACAGCACTTCCGCTTCCGGCCCCGCCGCAGGGCGGGAAGGGTGGGCGCGGGGTCTCATGGGGGTTGTAGTTCCCCCGGGAGACCTGGGCGGACTGAGGCTCTCCGGGGGACCGGGAATGTTGAGCCCGGAAAAACACGGAATGATGGAATAGTTGGGGTGGGAAAAACCCTCCAAGGCCATTGAGTCCAACCGTTCCCCCAGCACTGCCAAGGCCACCGCTATCCCATGTCCCCAGGTGTCACATCCACATGGCTTTTAAATCCCTCCAGGGATGGGGACTCCATTGCTGCCCTGGGCAGCTGTGCCAGGGCTGGACAACCCTTTCCAGGAAGGAATCTTCCCTTATTTCCAGTCTAAACCTCCCGTGGCACAGCATGAGGCCGTTTCCCCTTGTCCTGTCCCTTGTTCCCTGGGAGCAGAGCCCGACCCCCCCCGGCTCCCCCCTTCTGTCAGGGAGTTGCAGAGCCAGAAGGTCCCCCCTGAGCCTCCTTTTCTCCAGCTGAGCCCCCCCAGCTCCCTCAGCCCCTCCTGCTGCTCCAGCCCCTTCCCCAGCTCCGTTCCCTTCCCTGCACACGCTCCAGCCCCTTGGCCTCCTGCCCACGCGGACACTCCTGGGCTCGTGTCCAGCTGCCGTCACCAGCACTCCCAGGGCCTTTCCCAGCTTTCCAGCCTTTCTACCCCAAACCTAGGCTGTTGTGACCCAAAAAGGTACAGCCCCATTTGAATCAGAGATCAGGAAGCAGAGCCAGGCTTTTCACGGTGGTGCAGGATGAAGAACAATGGGAATGTGTTGAAACTAGAGAGGTTCAGAGCGGGTGAGAGAGGAACCTCCTCCCATTGAGGGCTGCCAGGCAGCGGGACAGGCTGCCCAGGGAGGTCGTGGAGGTCAAGCCCTGAGCAACCTGGTTGACTCCTGTCTTTGAGCAGGAGATTGGACTGGAGAACCCCAGAGGTACCTTTCCACCGGAAGGATCCTCTAGTGAACTTCCTTTTATCCATGCCTTTTACTTATCGGACAAAGGATTACATTTGATACAGAACACAAATGATTTCCCTTCTCTTAGGGATATATTTCTAAGTTCAGCCATAGTGCGCTGTAGAAGCAACTTAGAGGCATTGATTCTCTTTCTTTCCTAGTTTTGAAGAACTGGTTAAAAGAGCCACCTGCCCAGTGTACTTCATCCTACATAAATGTGAGGGACTACATGTCATCCTTTCCCATCACACCCTACATTTCTGTCATCCAGGGGGATCTTCAGTCAGGCTGGTGGCCTTCTCGCCACACCTACCATATGCATCCAGAAATCATCAAAATATTCATTCCCTCGAGGCCAGGAGCTCTCAGCACCTCTGTGCCCTCAACAACTCCTCTGTGTCTGCCATGGCAACAGGGCTAGGATCTGCTGGATGACCCCAGACTGCTCCTCTGAAGCAGAGAGCCTCAGCAGACCTATTTATCTCACCTTTTTGTTTTCACCATGGATCAGACTCAGAGAAAACAAACCTACATGTTTGTTTTCAGGTCAGCAGCACATCTGACAGACTTCCAAAACACACACTTTTCTAAGTCCTAGATTTTTTTCCAGAAAGGAATCCTAAGCCTGGACTCTCCCTGTCAATAAGTTTACGTGTTTTAAGAGTCCTGCCAGGTGGAAGTGACTCAGCCAGCTGAGATATGAGACAGAGCAGTTCTATTCACACCTCCCATCTTACAACCACTGTATTACTTTGGTTTGGTTTTTTTTTTTTTCTCTTCTGCAGCCTTCAGCTTCCCTGACATAAACACTTTCCCTCTTCCTGTGTCCCAGCCACACTTGGGAACTGTCATCTGCTGGGGAGATAATGGGATAACCTGGGCAAAGAAAAAGCACAGAGAGTACAAAACACCTGTTAATTGGGCTCTAAGATGCATTGAATCCATTTTGCTTTAGCAAATGGTGAAAGAAGTTTCTCTAATGGGTAGCAATAGATGTAAGTGGCAATAACCACATTGGTATCTGTCCTACAGCAAGATATGCTGAGGAAGGAATGGGCTTAAGGACCATTTTGAAAAATATCAGGATGCCTGTTTAGATTAGAGATTTTATTTTTTGCTGTGATGGCAGCAGAGAACTGTAAAGTCTCAAGGAGCCACTTTCAGAGTGATGAGGGAGGGCAGAGAAAGCAGTGAAGGCAGAGAGCCGTCAGTGTTCAGTGCTGAGGGCACAAGGGGAGTCATAAATTGAGGTTTTCTCCCCCTCCAGCGAGGAATCCTTCCCAGCTCACTACTTGTCCTCAAGGAAGGTGCACACCTGGAGAAGATCTGGAAAAAGAAAGGACAGGGAGAAGTTCAGATCCTGCCTTTAAACACTCTGGTCCCAACAGTGATGCCAACAATGTCATCACTTGCAAAATCCATGGTGTGCCACAAAAAAAAGGGCAGTAACCACAGATCACTCTGGGCCCGCACTGATGGGTCCAGGTGTGTTCTTTGTGCCATTTCTCCAAGTGTGTATTTTCTAAGGGTGAGGGAAAATCTTTTATTCATGTTGCTGCCAAAGCAGCAGATTTTAAGTCTGTTCTCAGTTCACCCAAGGACCTTGGAGAAAAGTATAGTGGCATCCTTCTGAGTTATCCTCATTTTGCTTAAAAGGCATTAAATGGACAGCCCCAGAAGAAACTGTCCATGCCTGTGAGGTAAGAACTGCAATTCAGAGAATTCCCCTTGGGCTGTTCCAGTTACCTGATGGATTGCAGGTGTTGAGGCTGGCAAGTGAAGCGTAGTATTGATCTCCGAGGAATTCCTTGTACGTTATTCCATCGCGGAGCTTCACCAGGCACTTGGTCAAGTCTTTAAACAGGAGATCCTTGGTTTCATATGCAAACATGTTGAAATCCTTATTCTTGATTCCTTTTGCTCCAAACAGTCTCTGAAATAAAGGCACAATGAGAAGAGAAGTAGGAAGCTGGCAGGATTCAGCTCATGCAAGCTTAACTCTTGGTTCTGGTTCTTCACCATCATCCTGGGGAGCCCCAAGCCAGGCTCTAGAAATTTAGGAGTGAATTTTCTGTCCATGTGCTTAGAGGAGGGATCTGTCACGGGTGGGCACATTTTTCCCCCCGTTTTATCATGCAGAGCCCATCAGCAGGTGCTGCCTGGAGGTGTTGTGCCTTAGCCATGAGGTGGGAGCAAAAGGAACTGACTTCCCAAGGGCCTCTCAGCAGAGCCTGGATGGAGCAAATATTAACGTTTGCAGTGACAAACAGAGATGGTTTAACACACTTATGTTGGCTCCAGTGGCTGTAGGACTGTGTGTGTGCAGGGGGGCTGCTGTGGGGGCTGAGCCTGCCTCAGCTGTGGCAGAGACCGGGCACCCCAGAGGAGTTTCTGAGACACACCAGCAAGAGCAGAGCCCAGAAAGGAGGTGATAAATTCATGTCACATAAGTGTAGTGTGACAGCAGCAGCTACTACGATCCAGCTGTTCCCTGAAGTTGTATTTGCTAAGGTGGTAGAGGAGAAAGAATGGTTTGGGAGGGACGGAGGAAGGGCAAGGACAAGGGACAAGGCTGTCTCCCCATACCAGGTAAAATCTTCCACGTTACTCTGACCTGGGGAAAATCAGAGCCTAAGGGCAACCCCAGGGCATTTCTCCCACTCTCAGCACTACAAACCTCTTGTCTCTCCAGCATCTCACGGACTTGTTTTGCTTTCTCAGGACGTGTCACCACGGCGTGTGTGGGAACTTTGGCCAGGTTGCACCTCCTGTAGTCCATGACATTTGCCCGTTGCCCATCAGTGCACAGCAACTCAAATTGGTCCATTTTCAGATCTTTGGCCCAGCTTTCTTTACTTTTGCCTTTACAGAGAAGGGGTTTGGAGATTCAGAAGTCTTGTGTAGCAGGAGAACATCAGCCTCACAACATCTGAGTAATAAGGCAGAAGGGGAAGGCAGCCCTGACACGAGCTGTGCAATAACCACGTACCATCAGTGTTCTCCTCGACGATGGAATGCTTAATAAAGGCCACATCCCCCTGCTCCACCAGACACCTGGGAAGTAGAAAGAGGTCAGTGATGTGTGTGCTTGAATCCTGGCCCTTTCCTACAGATTTCATTTACACCTGTGTCTTATTTTGTACAATTAATCTCTGAGGACAGCCAGGTCTAGGAGTCCTGCCATGAATATCTTAAAGGTATCTGAAACACTTTGCACTCCTCATCTGTATTAAAAGTGGAGCATTGCTGCCACTGTAGAAGGTCTTGTGTCTCTCCTGGTTTGCCTGGGGCATCAGGACATCAGTTTTACAGAATTCACGGATTTTGCATCATTTTTCAGGAAGCAAAGACAAAACATGTCACATATGTATAATATTACAGACATTGTGGTGGAACAGAGAAAAAGAGGAGGTCAGCAAATTAGTGTCAACATGAGCCTGTGCTCCAGCTGTGATCCACCCATAACCCCTGGGATTAGCCAGAGGCAGCCCGAGTGTTCCCAGCACTCACCGCAAAGCTCCAGTGTATCCATAGTACTGCTCGTGGCTGCTGGCGACGCACTTCTCCGGAGGGACCCCCCCAGAGCCCTTGCAGAGCTGGCAGAGGCGGGAGGTGGGAGGAGATCCAGGAGCACAGCCCTGGCTGAAGTATTCATCTGAAGGGAGGAATAGGAAAAACTCACTTTTCCTCTCCTGGAAAGTTAGTTTTTGTTTTAATAACCTGAGTTGAATGCCCTGACTTTGTGTTACTGGTCAACGGGGAGATGGAAATCACGTGCATCTGGTTTTCACTGTGAAACTTGTGTCTTGTTATTATTGATAATTATTGTTATTGTTGCCCAGAGCAGCTGTGGCTGCCCCATTCCTGGAAGTGTCCAAGGCCAGGTTGGACGAGGCTTGGAGCAACCTGGGCTCATGGAAGGTGTCCCTGCCCATGGCAGGGGGTGGGACTGGATGTGCTTTAAGGTCTCTTCCAACTCAAATCATTCTGTGATTCTGTGATTCTACAAGGAAGCAGGGCCTAAGGCTTAAGTGCAATAGGCACTATCTTGGTGTAAAAAGAAGAATGTTTTTCCTGCAAACCTTTCCCAGCTCACACAGAGCCAGCCTGAGCCTGCACGGCCTTTACGGGTTGGCAGAGCTGCACTTGGCAGCAATGCCAGAGCTCTGGGGGGAGAAGGGACAGTGAGAAAGCAGGCAGAAGGATGGAGAGGCTGAGAATAAAACTTACTCACACTAATACCTTTTTTTTTGGTTAGAGATTTCTGTCTAATAATTGTGTTTACTTTGCCTTGGTTGATAACATTTCCAAATTATTTTTGTTGGACCACAATTCTCAATGAATTCTCAGGCAGTCGGATCAGTCCCTTTCAGTTTCTTGAATGAAATCAGCCTCTGTCCCCTGTTCTCAGCCCTCCCCCTCCCTCCTGAGTTTCATCCTTTAGCCCCACTCCACACCCTGCACAAGCACCAGGGCAGCCCATATTCCATTTTTGGGAATACCTCTTGGTTGAGCTGCTGCAAAGGGAAGGGGAGATATGTGAATAGAAAGCAAAGCCCCCCAAGGCACCTGATGTGCTGTATCTTAATCTGAAGCAGCCACCAAGAGCCTAAAATTTTGCTCAGTGAAGCCTTAAATAACAGAGCCTTTCCCATTTCCCACCTCCAAGCGGGAATCTTTGAGGCACGAGAAACTTTGAAGACCACATGAAGGAAGGGAAAACATTTTTGTGAGCAGATTCCCAGCTGGAAAAAACAGGTGCCAAACTGGACTCACCGAAGTTGCAGTTCCCTGTCCTGTTGTGAATCAGGCCCATGGGGATGTTCCAGCCGGCAGTTCTCCCCACGGCGGTGTGGCACGACTTCTTACCCTGCAGGTTGTTCCATGTGATATCTCTGTCAGATTTCTTCACAACAGCCACAGCAAAGTAGGTTGCTTTCAGAGAATAAAATAGAGGAGAATTAATGCCTGACCCGAGGATCCCACCGTAATCCCTAAGGAGGCCAACGGCTTCTCTTGGGAATGGGCATATATGAACAGTAAACAGAAATACTTTGCACTTATAAATTGTTGGCCGGGCAGCAAAAATGGAAGTGTTTGTAGATGTGATGCATCTACTTCCACCATGCTTCTGGAAAATTATTATCCCTGACATTTCCCTGCCTACCCTGACACTTGAGTATGTGAGAAGGCTGCAGCAAGACATAAATGAGGATTTCTTATCCCCTCTTGATTTCTTATTCTCTCTTTAGCAAAGGACAAAAACCTTCCCTCCTCTCCCCCTTCCCATTCCCAGAAAGAACAATTCCCTAATGCTACAGTCCAGGCCCTCTTTCCCTGTTCAAGCCCTGATGCTGTTGTGATGTGACCACACAAATCTCTGCTGTTACTTTTTGCTTTGCCTTGGTATCTCCTTGCAGACCCAGACTGTTAAACCTGACTCCCAAAATTTTAATATCTACATTGGACACCGTGGCTCTTTGTGTGGAGACAGGCCATTTGTTCTCCACTCATGCCTGCATATATTTTACTGCTTATATCCTTCAGGACTGTTTTCTGTCCCTCTGTTGGTAGCAATTACCTGGTTCTTCTTCCGATTCACTGCAGTGGTTCTCTGTGGGAGAGGAAAAGAAGAAGATACTGAGCAGAAGAGAACTCAAACCCAAAAAAAGGATCAAGCTCACTAATTTCTGGAGAAACTTCATTCTAGAAGTGACTCTTTCAGGAACGCCTTGTGCATCAAAAGAACAAAGCACAGCCTCCAGCTGCTCCTCTGAGCTAAAACAACTGGTTTTACTGAGACCAGTGCTAAAGGGTAGGGGCAGGATGTGAACAGAACTAAAACAAAGAAGAGAGGAGTTGGAGGTTGCCATGTTCTCAACTATCCATGCCTGCTCTCCTCCCACCTCATGGAAAGACGAGATGAGTGCTGAGCAGAGTTGCCTCATGTATTTTCTGCAGGACAGCACTGAATCTGCGTTCTAGACTCCAGAATAAACCCAGCGCTTTGGCACCAGCCCATTCCCCACCACCTGAGCTCTGAGGGACAGAAGGGGCTGTGCTTACCCTCATAGCTCTCTGCCACCACTGGCACCAAGCCACACATGCCGGCAGTGTAGACAAAGCCTCCGTCCAGGCTGATGGCATCTGCTTCACCTTTCTGCAACAGTAATGGAACACTGTGTGTCCCCAGGCCAGGGCTTTTTGGAGATCAGATTGTAAAAGAAGCAGCTGGAGAGTTCACAGTGAGAAGAAAAGGGGGAAAAAAAACCATACCATGATCTTCATGATGCATTCCTTGGTGTCTTCTGCCACGATGCACTCCACCTCCCCATTGCTCATCACGCTCCAGACGTCACACTTCTTCTTCTCATCCCTGCCTATCGCACACCACTGGGTCTTGTTCCCTCTGCGGCTGGGGGTCAGGCGGTCTGGAAAGCCAGGGGAAAACCAGGATAAGCCCAGAGCCCTATGGAGCAAATGGGCCACTTCCCGGGTGGGAAGTCCGTGGGACTCGGCCATGAAACTGCCTGTACACACCGACCTGCTGCTGCTCGGGGCAAGATGTTCCTGTCTAATGAGCTGGCACAAGGAGAAAGGGTGATTTGTAAGCTGAAGGATGCTCAAAAACCAACTTACAGATCTGAAAGGCGAATTTCTGCATAACACAGGCCACTCAGGCAGATTTCTGTTAGCTAAAACAGGATGACCACTAAACCCCCATGTGTTAATAATACTTGGTGTTGCTGCCTATAATATATCTCACATTTCTCCACTCCTCACAGCCCAGACAACCATGAGACTAAGACCAGACTGAGCTGGGTAATTACAACCTAGCTATGCTTCTGTGAAACAGCATTTGAATAATCTGATGTTACGTGAAGTCCATAAATGCCACTTCACAGAAGTGAGGTACTTTAAATTGTACTATTCATTCTAAGTGAGTTTCGGAGATACACTTGTGGGGTGTTTGACTTTCAGAAAGCCATCAGTAAATGCTTGATGAGTCTAGCTGTTTCCCTCAAGTGTCCAGTGCTGGACCTGGTGTTCCAGGTTCTTCCCTCTTTTTGCATCCAGCAATGGCTTTTCTGAGAAGCAGTTTTGACCGTGCCCAATCTCTCATAACTTGTATGGAGTGTGTGCAAATTTTCTGTCTTTGTCACAGTGGTGATGATGTTATTTTGGGTTTGGACTCAACAAATTCCTTTTGTAAGTGACGTTTGTGAAGATTATGTGATTACATGGGAAATATTTTGCAGATGATAAATCTGTGTCTGAAAAAATCGTGTTCCTTTTGCCCAGACATATTTGCCAATGCCAACACTTCCACACACTGACAGGACTTTGGTGTTTCATGCCCTGCCTACCTTTCTGAAGGCTCTGGATGGCACCATAATAGTCAAAGCCCAGGTAGAGCTGGGTATCCATCAGTGATGGGATTCGCTTCAGCTGAACTGCAGAATCTTTGAAAAGCAAGTCTTTGAGGGCTGGGTCCTTCTTGCCAGGTGGCCCAAAGAGGTGGAAGGTGCTGGTTGTGCCCACGCCAAATTTTTCCTGCCACAGGGGAAAAATAATCAGCATATGACCATAACCAAAACTCTTGGAAAGCTGGAGAGAGCAACCAAAGCCAGAGGAGAGAAAAGGGGATGCTGTGGGAAGGAAAGGAGAGAACAATGATACCTGTGCTTTGGAGAGGAAGTTCCAGATGTCATTGACCTTGTTGTCATCTCGAGCCATCACGGCGTGGGCAGGAACCCTGGCCCAGTGACAGGCTTTGTAGTTGTCCACGGGCTGGCGGGTGCCATCCAGACACAGAAGCTCGTACTCCTCCTTCTCATTCGGGGCATTTTCTGGAGGAAGGGAGGAACCATGAGTTGCATCACCATGAAAATAGACCAAAAAATCCCGTCTAGGGAAGCTTTGTAATTAATTTGTTTCTGCTGGAGCTCAGGGTAGAATTCTTTGCAGGAGACAGGTTGCAATGGGACTGGGGTCACGGTGGTTGTACAAAAGCAATGCCTGAGGAGGAGAGATCGTCTCTGCCTCTGTCATGACTAATCCAACAGTAAGAGGATTTATGTGCAAATGGATACAAATAGGTTTACAAACAGCATACAAATGGATTGAACAGGTCAGGAGCTGCACCTGGTCTGTGAAGGCCATTAGGTAACTAAGGTCGAGGCTGAAGAAAAAGCCCAGGACTGAGGTTACAAGAGAATTCAGGTGGGAAGGGACCTCTGGTCCAAGCTCCTACTCAAGGCAGGGGCAGACCAGGTTGCTCCAGATGGATCTTGAAACCCTTCAAGGATGGAGAATGCACAGCTGTCCTGGGAAAACTGTCCCATTATTTTCTTGTCCTCAAGGGGAAAAAAATTCCCCTTGTATCTGGTCCCCAGGCTGACCAAGTTCCCCCCACAGAGCATCTCCTTGCAGGACAGTTGTCCCTGTCCCATGACAGCCTTGGTGACCCTCCACTGAGCTCACTGCAGGTCCTGGACATGCAAGGCCATCCTCCATCTCTAAGATGTACAGAGTCAGTGAACTCTGGCTGTGGGTGAATTCCCTCCAAAATCCCTCCCAGAGGGATGGGTGACCTGCTCAATTGCTCACATTACAGCTGGCTCTGAGATACGGCACTAAACAGGTTTTCCATATACAAAGAAGAACCTCAGAGAAGAAAAAGTGGACCTGCCATAATCCTGCTTCTCAATAACAAGGATGGCTTACTCCAGAATGCACAAAACATGTTTCAAGAGATGAAAGAAGAGGTTTTGGGCCAACATGGGGAGGAATGAAAGCTGCACAGTGTAGGCGAATTGCAGGATGGAGTGGCAGCGAGATATTGGACTAGAAAGAGGAGAAACAAGAGATCTTGCAGGCTTACCTTGAACAGTTGTGTGTTTCACAAAAGCCACATCTCCTTTTCCTTCTTTCAGACAGCTGCAGGGGGGAGGAACAGAAGAGAAGTTAGAAAAATAGACACTGTGGCTCTCTATCTCCTGTTTCAGCAAATTATTTTTGGCACAAACTGCAGCCATAGAGAAGTGGTTTTCCCAAAAAAAAAAAGCTATGCTGGCAGGGAAGAAATGATGATGGCAGAGAAGTAATTCAGTCCTCTCAGGACCCCTGAATACAGCACGGCCCTCCCTGGTTTAATGAAAACTTCCATGCATCAGAGCTAGAATATTTCCCCAAAGGACAAATAACTCTCACTCACTGAAAAGCTCCAGAATATCCAGAATAAGGTCCCGTGCGGGACATTTTGGTTTTGGAGTCCCCCTTGCACTGACGGTACAGTTTGGGTTCAGTGGTGGCACCGGGGACGCAGCTGGCAGAGAAAAAATTGGCCACGGCTGTGGGTGAGAAACGAGCAATAGTGAGTCAGAAATTCACTTTTAGAAGGATGGGAAGGGAGGGGATGCACAAGGAATGCCAGTGCCCTGTGAGCCACCTCTGGACCCCCCCCCGAACATTGGGCAACATCTCTTTCATTGTACCACCACCCCTGGCTTGACTCCCACCGTCGATCCGCCCCTGCCACCTCACCTTGCTCAATGGAGCCCGAGTCTTTGCCATCCCACTCGATGTCTCCCCGGTGGATGAGGATCCCAATCGGGATGTTCCAGCCAGCAGACCTGCCCAGGCCTGTGTGGCAGGAGGTCTTTCCCCTCAGTTCATTTATTGTAAAGTCTGTTCCCTTCTTCACGACAGCCACAGCATAGTAGCTGGTGGTGGAGCCTGCAGTGCAGGAAAAAGCAATAAAGCAATGAGAAAACAGGACTTGGGGACATTTCAAATCCTACTAAACCCCCTATTTCAGGGAACAAAGTGCTGCACTTCCATATAACTAGGAATTTGTTTGAATGCTTATGGTTTTCTCATTTTCTTAGGGATGAGCTACACTGCCAATATTGAACCAGTGCTGTGCATTTCAACTAATAAAAAGTGAGCTGAAAACACTATCACACTCAAAGTGCCTTGCCACAGGACAGACATCAGATGAGCCATAGTTTTGTAAGGAGCTTCAACAAGTCTTTTTGGCAAATCTCCCCTGGCAAGTCTCTTCTCAAATGCTGTTGCCCACTGAAGCATATATGCACTGAAGCATACTTTGTGAGACTGAAAGTCCAATTTTAATCTTTAAAATTATACCTAGTCCATGGATACAGTGACTGAGTTTTAGGGGTGGTAGAGACCTCAGCCTTCCATTTAATATCTCTTTTTCTTAGCTCCCGTGTTGAGAACTACTCTGCCATTTTGCTTTGATCCTGCACATTGTGTACAAACAGGCTGAACTCCAGGGCAGAGGTCAAAAGAGATTGGGAGCTTTGGATGTGGTGAGGAAATAGCATCTGTTTGGTTCCCAGGAGAAAGATGGGAGAGATGAAGGATTGTACAGCGAATGAATAGGGATGGAGACATGGATCTAACTCCTATCAGAAGGGATGGTGCAGAGCACTTTTTATACTTCTCTTTTTTTTTTCCTGGGTATTGCTCGCACTTCTTGCCTCAGTGATCTCAACTGGGTGTTCCTCCCCAACCACTTATAATGCTGTTGCCTCTTCAATGATTTTTTTTTGTCTTGCTCACTGCACAGGGGGGTACACAGTTGATCTGTGCCATCTAGCTCCGTGTTTTACCCTCACAGTTCAAGGCCACTGAAAGCAGAAGATCTCTGGGACCAGCACAATTTTAATGCCACGCTTCAGAAGGACCATGATTTCTGCTCATGGTGCTCTCCATCCCGTCATGGGATCAGAGACTTTCACTGCAGCAAACAACAGAAATGGGTCACTGGCTCTGCCCCTTTCCACTGCAGTGACACTGTGGCCGTGGGTGATGATTCACATTTTACTGAACTGCCCCCTACCCCTTCCCCTCTGAGATCTGTAGTCCAGGGGCAATATTTTGGACCCTCAACCGAAATAATATGGGAACTCTGCATGGAAAGGATGGCCTTTGCATTCTCAGTTTGTTACCACCACTTGGCTTAAAAACACTGCATGAAAATGTACCTTCGCTGTGTTCGTAGACTTCAGCAGCAATGGGCTTCAGCTTGTAGGGGGCAAGGCCTGCCTCAAAAACTTGACCTCCATCCAAGCTAATGGCATCTGCTTCATTATTCTAAACAACAAAGAGATTTCATCAATTAACTAAGAGCAGGAAAAACTCTTCCCAGAGTCTCTCCTGGATCCTTGTGGATGACTCCTTCTCTACAGGGGGGTCACAGGTAGCAACCAGTGACTGAAAGAAAACTCCATCTCCGGGTGCAGTAGGCTGCTGAAACATCCTCAGTGCCCAGGTATTTGCAGCCCACTCACCGAGATGGCTTTTATGCAGTCAAGGTACGTTGCTTTCTGCAGGCAACTCAATGCAAAGTTGTCTTGTTGCATGTGGTCCCTCAGGACATTGCATTTGTTCTCTTCTGCTGAGGATATTGTGCACCACTTGATGTTTGTCTTTGGGGGCGCAGCAGAACAGAAAGCTATAGAAAGAACCAGAAATAAGTAGTCTGAGAGGGGTGGACAGGCATTGATCAGAGAGAAACAGCATCTTTGCAAATAAAAGGTCTCTGGTTCCCTGCTGTCACGGCCTTGGGTGACGGCGAGGTGCAGGATCTCCCTTGCACACCTCCTAAGCCATGCAGGAAGGTCCTTTCTTTCTTGCACCATCAGAAACGTCTGAGAGGATCATTCCTGTCCCTGGACAATCATGATTCAAGCAGCCTGGGCTTACAGCAACATCCACAGGATGAGAACAAATCCACACGCTTCAATAGAAGAAATTAAGCTCAAGCTTTTGCAAAAATGGAGAGCAAAGGCAGACACCGAAGCAGGGCCTTTGCAAATAACCCCAGAGGGAGAGCAGCTCTGACCTGGCCAGGCTGTGTGCAGAACTCTGCTACTTTCACCCCCTTGGCAGCTGGATGATCTGATATATTTAACTGTCTCTTTATATCTCACCTCCCCCACTACACCCACAAACAGAGATGCCACAGCACCACCATAGCCCTTCTACGAGTCCCCCAAGCAGTAAATGCAGCTGTGTGGCTGTTCTGGGAGAGCAGAGCACAGCAAAGACCTCAGGTGGACACAGACTCACACCTTCTCCAGCAACCTGAACCCCAGAAATGCTGGAAACTTGCAGTTCAAGGATGTGGCCAGCTTGTGCTGACCCTTAACTTTGCCCCTTCCCAGCAGGGCTGTGCAGACCAAGAGGTCGCTTGCACAGCGCGCTCCCTCCAAACCCCCGATGGCATATTTCATTCAAACATCTCAGATTAACGTGTGCCCTTTCCCTTTTCTCTTTCACCTCTGAAATTTCTTCTCTGTACTTGAGCCATAACCCCGCCAGCAAACCTACTTTTTGAGCCATAACCTTACCAGCAGATGCCTCCCCTCCTCCCAGTGGAGGTGCTGAATTCGGTCAACAATCTTTAACCTTAATTTCTGCTGCCATCAGTTATGTTTTTCAAGTCTTGGCTATGGTCACCTTGTTCTAATGCTGGCAACCACCCTGTCCAGGGTAGAGGCTGGATGGGGACCTCCTGAGGGAGTCAGCCCGGCTGCATTGGTGACATTGGGAGGGTAATGGGACCTGAGTGCCTTGGCCACTCTTGCAGGGCTTCTGGGAAACCTCTTGGCTCCTTCCATTCAGGGGAGAAAGAGAAGCCATAAAAAACAACCTTGTGTGCTAATACTCAGAAAAGGTGCTCAAGGACTTTCCAATGCCAGTGACACAGGCAGCAATTCCCACCAGAAGACATTGACCCCCACCACACTTTATAGGGGGTCAGAAGAGACCTGCTACCTACTCCCAGCAGGGCATCTCTCTTTCCCTTTCCATGTCAGGTGTAGACAGCAGCTACCTGCCCATGCCTGCCAGAGCTGTGAGCAGAAAGAGAGGAAAGAATCACTCCAAGCAGTGTCATCCCTGCAGCAGCACAATTTTGGCATAAAACACACAGGAACCCAAGAAAAGTGCAGCTGCAGCAGCAGGACAGAGCCCTGCAGGAGCAGAGGGGGAAGCACAGGGACTCTTTCATTATTTAACCTCAATTTTAGTGTCACTATCTTCAGGTTTAACCCAGCACATGTGGGTTAAAATGTACCAGCCAGTCTTGCAGTAGTCTCTCCCCCCGTGGCTGAGCCCATGCTCCTCTCCCGGCACAACTGTTGGCTGGAGGATGATTTTTCCCTTCACCCTGTGACAGCAGGAGTGCGGAGCCTCTCCTGAGGAGTCCCCTCCGTGGTGATGGGTGCCGATCATCCCTTCTCCCTGCCTGGTAGCTCGCTGTGGGGAGCTGCAGCCCTCCCCCCAGCCCCCACGGGCTGCCCAAGGAGAAAGCTGCTATCACTAACACTCAAAATAATCAAAATACATCCTCGTTGACAGATCCACAGCAGCCAAAGCCAACACCACTTTATGTCCTGGCTTTTACTTAACAGCTGCCTGGGTCTGAAGAAGCCTTGTCTAGGGGGAAGCCCGGGTCCACAATGGTTTTGACTTCCTTTCCCCAAGCACTGCTTTCGGCAGACACTTACCCACTATCCCGAAGGACAGCACAGTGGAGAGTAGGAGTTTCATACTTGAGCAGGGAGTCGGGTGCCGAGGAGGGGCAGCAGCAGCCTTGGTCACAGACTGTCCCCTCCAAGTCTGTGATGGCTCTGGAACTGCTTTCTCTCTCTTTTATAGAGGAACAGCCTTGGCTGTGTTTGCATAAGCAATGACCTAACACTGTTTGTCCTTCCTTGTTTCTCAATAGCTCTTAAATCGCCCCCCTCCCTAGATCAGCCCATTTTTAGGAAGCCTTTCACTTTGGCACTGAACCCTTCCGCTGGCAGGAGTCAGAGGCAAAGTGCTTTGAATTTTACAAGGGGCTTCGGATGGAAAATTCCCAAGATGTGACATTTGAATTCCCCTCAGGGCTGAAACACCACAGGAGGGGCTATTTTCTTTGTGTTGCCCACCCCCTGCCTTGTCCAGAACTAATCTCAGAAAGTCCCTGTTGGATCCAGCCCTGGGGTTTGTGTGTTTGCCAGTAACTGCTGCTGTGGTGTCCACGGCCCTTTGGCTCAAAGCATCGAGTGCCTGCCTGTTCCCTTGCACGCTCTTGGCAATGGCAGAGGGGTTGAAAGGCAGTAAATGATTCCTACACATGATCTGGCTCCTTGCACAGGCAAAGAAAGCCAACAGCAGTGACCAGACAGCTCGATAAGTGCCCTGCAGCCAGAACAAAGTGTCACACTGCACCTTGATAAGTTTTTGGGATGAACCTGGGAAGAAATGCTGAGATTAGCAGTCACCCTCCTCCCCTTTCCTCTGCAAACTCTCTCCATCCAATTGTGTCGCTCCTGACCTATTCCCCTGCAGCCAGGACCAGTGGGGCATGGCTTGGTTGATGAAGGTCACCCTTCATGATGCTATCCCAGCTTCAGTGTCCCCATCTTTGCTGCAAGGTGCAGGACCAGCTTCAGATTGACTTGGGCATACAATCTGAGAGTCCCTGGACCGCACCAGCCCTCTAGACAACTTCTAGGGCTGGTCCACCCATGGTGCCCACCCAACACAAGCTACAAGAGTGCTGTTGGAGGCCCAGCAGGGAGGTCCAGCTCCCAGGCTTGGTCTCAAGAGCACTGCCCTCCCTTGGAGAGAGGATCTCCTGGATTTCCTGCACAGGTCCCTCCTCCCCTGTAGCCTTCACCCTCTTACATGGCTAGGTTGTCTCTCCTTCCCTCCTCCCAGCAGGCCCAGGGCAAAGGGAGCTGCAGATGGGTGGTGGTGGCCAGAGTGGCTTCAGCACAGGTGGGAACCCAGTGTGAGGTCAGGGATACAGCTCTACAAGGTGACCCAGAAAAGGGGACTGCTGGAGACCCTCAGCCAATGACCACCCCTACCATGGCACTGGGAGCCTGCCCTGCCTGTGCCTGAGCGAGAGGTGCTCATGGACACTGGTTATTCCACATCATCTGTAGCAGTTCCCTCAGCATGGGTAGTTCCTATTTCTCATTCCTTCATCCCCTGCTTTCCCAGAAGAGCAGCACTTCTTGTGTCCAGAGCAACTCCAAACACACTGCACCTTTGGGGAGATTGACTTTCTCCCACCTCAAGCCTGTCTTCCCTTTTAAGAGATCTGCTGTCCATATTTACTCCATCAAGCTGTGGCCTTCCAAGGTCATCCTCCGCTGAGACTGGCAGATGCCACTGAAATCCATCCCCAGCTTCCTGTGGGTCTCACCAATCCCTTTCTCACTCAGGGTAGCCTTAGCAACATTCCCATCTGTGGGATGAGGCACGAGTTCTTCCATACTTGAGAAAGCTGTCCCACACAGTTCTTCCATGGTTTTTTGCTGATTTGTTCCAAAATGCCTCTTCTAACAGATATCCTGAGAGAGCCCAGAAATTGCAGTGCCTCTGAAGCATCAAAGATATCTGGGCACATAATGGTGAAAATCTTTGGACCTCTTGACTCCACAACCTAAGCAGTTACAGCACTATCCAGACAGGATAAAAGTATTTGTGCCACATGACAGATAAAGGAAAAAGATAAAGAAGAAAGCTTGGAAAACATAAAGGATCCATTCAAACAACAGAACAGTTGCTGGAAGAGCCCAAACTATCTTGCCTGTTGCACATGGTTCCCAGACCTTTTTACATGGACCACCCCCTAGTCCTGCCTCCCTTCTCAAATCTCACCTGCATCCCAGTGCACACTGTGCTGATGTGATGGGTGGTTTTCACACATCCACATCTCTTCCCTTGCTCTCCCAGATGGCATCGGGGCAAATCCAGGAACAAAGGAAGAGACTTGGATTACAAGGTTTGCCTCTTGTCCTTTACTTCCTAGAATTCCAAATGTCACTGGTCATCTGGAATGGCACCAGCCGCCTACAGAGCTGCTTCTAGGTCTCCTTTTGGTGCTATCAAATCCTACCTTTCTCCAGGATGGATTCCATTCTCCTCCTGGGTGTGCACCCATCTGGTGGCTGCTCCTTTGGTGGCTTTGCCTCCTGTGGCCAAGATCTGCTGCTCCAGCCTGTGGAGAAGAAACTCTTCCAACACACAGCTTGCCTTGGAAATACCCCATGGCAGAAGCACAGCAGGTTGGTGATGTGTCTTACAGGCCACCTGAGCTGAAGGCTCAGACCTTGATCTCCAAAGGACCCAAAGGACCCAGCAGGCCTCCAGGCTGCTCCCACCAAGGGAAGCCTTGGATGGAAAAGGCAAAGTATTCTGTACGGCCTCCAGCTGCAAAAGGCCTTCCTTTTGGAGTCCAGGAGGGACAAACTTCATGGTGCAATCAACTTCCTCCCCTGAACATCTATCAGATAGCTGCTTTGCCAAATTTTGTGTTAGAAAATGCGCGTTTAGTTACACGGTGGGTCCTCTCTCTCACTAAATACTCACAGACCCCTCTCTGCAAGCTCTGGTCACATCCATACCTTGCTGGAGAGGGCTCCTCCCATGCCCAAATACATGTATCTGGTGACTAAGCTGAGATTGATTGTCAAGGGCCAATTCTTAGTAACAATGGAAATTCTTTACCAGAAAGGACAGAGCTAAGTCGATGCCCCTCAGACTTTGTCCCTGTTATCCAGAAAGCACCAACCCTTCTGTAGTGCCCATCTTCATGAAACGACCGGAATTATTGTTACACATCCCAAGTTCGTTGCATTGCAACACTACACATCCCTGCTGTTCTGTTTTCCAAAAGAGGATGCTGCTAAAAATTACATGGCTGATGAAGAAATACAAATTAACACACCCTCTGCCCAACCACGGGTCATTGGTGATGTATAAACACAGCTGAACCCCGGGGAAAGAACAACACCAAGTAAAACAGAAGGTAAAATAATACTGCTTATTTCCACATCTCCCTCATTACTGCAAAGCCCATGTGTGCACTGTGGTTTGTGGTTGAGACAAGGCTGGACTGGAGTTTTGGTTGTGTCCTAAGGAAAGAACGTTTGTTGTAGCTGGGCTGGGATAAAGTTAGAGCTGGCATGGCCATGTGGGAGAGAGCGTGGCTTTGTCACAGTGAGCTCATCCTGGAGCCAGTGCAGCTGAATGGAGGCTGGAGCCGAGCTCTAGTTGTGTGTGTGCATGTGGAAAACATCAACCAGGGAGAGGGAAAGCTGTGATCAAGGCATCAAGCCAGCACAGGCATCTCACCCAACTCTTTGGAGCAGTTATTTCCATAAAAGTGTCCGTATCCAGCAGTAGAGGCCTTTGGAGTTAATGCTGCTATTCCCAGGGGTCACCAGGCTGCCAGTTGTGTAACGAAGACCCAGCTCACCTTAGGAGGCTGAGGAGAAAAAGCACTGAAATTTTTCCCTGTGAGAGTGGGGAGGCCCTGGCACAGGTTGCCCAGAGAAACTGTGGCTGCCCCATCCTTGGAAGTGTCCAAGGCCAGATTAGACAGGGCTTGGAGCAATGTGGGCTAGTGGAAGGTGTCCCTGCCCATAGCAGGGGTTTGGAAAAAGATGAGCTTTAAGGTCCTTTCAAAGCCAAACCATTCTGTAATTCAGTGTTCAGGTACCCAGGAGGAGCAGGAGGAAGTCAAGGGACTTCTGCACAGCTGGTTTACCTGGCCATTGCAAGAACCTGGGGGAAATCCCAGCCCTCCTGCCCGATGCCAAGTCTCTCCAGGAAGAGGGAGTCACTTGTCCCCTGGAGCCCAGGCCAGCATAGGGCTTGCAGCAGCTGTAAGCCACAGTGTGGGAGTGCCAGCTCTGAGAGTGTGGCCTTGGCTGACGATGGACTGGGACCAGCTTGGCATTCCCCGTGGCTCCCAAGGCCTGACAGATACCTGGAGAGCTGTGGCTGGCTTTCCAGAAACAGGCTTTCAGCCCCTGTTTGGAGTCATGGGTCAATATTGGGGCTGTGCTCCAACTCCAGAGTCACTGTCCTTGGTTTATTTTTCAGCAAAATGCAACAAACCCGTTTCCCCGCTGGTTAGGACAAATACTTGGTGTCAGGTTTTAACTGTGTTGCAAAATGCTGTTTTCTACCCGGGATGAGCCGAACTGGCCACTGGAGAATTGGAGCTGATGTTGTTTGAACCAATATTTGCTTCTAAGCATTGCTTCTAAGTATTGCCTAATTTCTAAACTGCACAGGGCAAACAAAGAGCTCTCTGTCGACCCTAAGCCGCTCTTTCTGGCTGGGAGCACTAAGCCCAGCTGCAGACTGTGGCCTCTTGTCAGAGCTGCTTACTGTGCCATACCATTACAGATTTACATTCTTAGATTGGAAACTAATGTCAGCTCAACAGCCAGGTACCAGCAGCTTGACCCTCTCTGCCTTGCACAGCAGGTCTGCAGGACAGTGTCACTGCCCCCCATGCCTCCTGTGCACATTCCCCTTCCAGCAAACACCAGCTGCTCCAGCATCGGTGAGGAAACAGGTTTTCTTGACCTTCTTTCCCAAGCAGGCCCCCTCTAACTCCCCAGCCCCCTTGCTGAAGTCAGCAGAGGTTTCTGCTCCGCCAGCCAGTGGTCCATGCAAAACTCACCCTCTTGGATATGCAATTAGTGCCATTCCTCCTAATGAAGGATCCCAGTTTGCTTAATTAACCCAAAGGTTAACAGGATTAACAGAAACTCTGTGCAACCTTGGGAGCTGTGATATTCCTGAAGGGATTTAGGAAGAAAAGGCAGAAATATATAGTGGGTTAATTATTCCTGCTGAAGACACACTTGCAAAGAGACCAGCTGAAGCCTGGTAACAGCCAGCCCTGCTTCCTGTATATTTACCAAAGATCACTGGGAACAAACCAGTAAAAACTGGTATCTGGGAAATAAATGGCAGGAGTGCCAGGTGCCCTATGTGACCACAGCACCCTCAGCTCCTCTCCCACAGGACCCCTAGGTCCCTTGT